TGGTCGGTGCTATCCCACCTATCATGGGATGGGCCACTGCCACTGGCTCCATAGATTTGGGTAAGTTTCATGCTCTCTTATTCTGTACTTGTGTGACTCGTTTGGAATAGTTGGTCATTAGACCAAATGTATATACGGTAATGGAGTGTAATTGTCTTAACTTAAATATCAAGGGAAAGTATACCAGAAGTCCCACGCAACACTTCTATTGTTAACCGGCTCTTCGATGGTAATCCTTGATGGCTACTTTTTAATAGTGAAATTAAGTCCTCTTTAAAAGTATTTTCGTCTTTGCGGTCCTTGACACATTTGATGCTGACGGTGAAGTGGAAGAAATGCTGGATTCTTAAGGATGTTAACATTAAAAAAATTGAATTCAGTTGTGAAGCTCTTTCAAAGGCTGAAAAAATAGCTCATTATTATTTGTATGTGTATTTTTCACCAAGTTCCTGATTTCATGTTTTATAGCAACCTGCTTATTTTGAAATCGGTTTCGTGCCGTCAGCTTGCTAGTGCCTTCATCTTTCACAAATTTGTTCCATGAACTTTAGGTTTTTCTATTTTCGTTCATTGGGTACTCAATATAAATTGAATTTAACAGGCTGTCTATAAAAATTGGTAATTTTCAAAATAATGAAAAAAATTATTTGATGAAAAGGAACTACTAATCGGTGATCCAAATATTAAACGACTCTATGCAGATTTGCTGTTCGTTTCAATTACGATAGCAGAAATACATGACGATAAGTTTACTTAGCTCTGGCTGCAATTTGCTCCATTACCTGAGTGAAGTGCTGTTTTCTTTCCTGTGATGTCTGATGTCTAGCTATGAGAAAATCGGATAACCGATTCTCTCTAATTTACCTTTTCTATTTTTTAGATTCTCTGGTATTAGCCGGTCTCCTCTACACTTGGCAGTTCCCCCACTTCATGTCCCTTTCATGGCTTGCTCGCAACGAGTATGACCGAGCAGGCTACGTCATGACCTCCATCGTTGCTCCTCAACTGGCTCGAACGGTTGCTCTTCGACACTCCTTCACTACAACCGCCGTCTGTTTCCTTGCCGCTGATGGAATTAATTGGTTCGGTGGTCTTGCGACCGCTCCCTTCAACCTCGCTTTGATCTACTACTCTTGGCGGTTTTATCGAGCACCTCTAGAGGACCAAGGGCTTGTAAAATCAGAAGCAAGACGACTCTTTCGTGCATCTCTTATTCACCTCCCCGTTGTTATGTCAGTACTCTTAGTGTGCTCATTTTGTGGCGACTTTGTAGCTTAGATGAGAAGATAGTGCTTTTTTTCTATTTATTTTGTCATTTTTCATCTGCCAAATTAATTTCGTGTATTTTTCAATTAAATTTAATAAGACTCAGGTGATATCTCCAGTTTACTGTAGCTTCGGTTTCATTCTCTGACAGTGGATTACTTGAGGTATATTAGCGAGATATTGAAAATTAATTTAATTGAAGTCAGAAGACGCACCATAGTTTGTTATGTAGCCAACATTGTTGAATTTTCAGAAGGTGCAGGTTAAATTAGCCAATAAAACGAGTCTTTTATTTGCTCAAGACGA